GCGGCGTGCAGACCCAGTCCACATGGGCACCTGGTCTGTCCTGCCTTCACGGTCACTGGGACGCGATCGCGGGCATGGTGAGGTGACGAGAACACGAAGGCAGCATGCCATGGTTGGTGAGTTGCAATAGAAAGGGCAGCTCTGAGTGGTCACAGTTTGAGCTGGAAAATAGAAGCGGACAGATGGAATGATAAAGTGGGTTCAGACAGCTCTCTCGGGTCAGAATGAACATGTGGAAAGTTGGGCCTTAGTTGTTCCTTTCTGGACGAGACTGCGGTGGCCAATGGTCGGACATGTCAGATGGTGTGATCTCAGCATATGTGGGGTTCCCCGGACAGTCCCGCCTGGGCTGGTCACCAGCCAGGGGCGAGAGCCGGCTCGGGGCCTGACGCCAGGAGGCGGTTGGCACAAACCTCCCGGAAGCCATCCCTGCACCTGGTGTCTCCCGGGGCCTAATGCCGAGTGACTTCCCGTGTCACCTTCCTTCTAACAGCCGCTGGCCGCAGGCATGCACTAACTGTGTCTCGTCCCAACTCACACACTCGGAGCACACTTTCTTGTAGACATTTACATGGTTCATGTCCATCAAGTCAGTCTTCACTCAGTACCTGAGATGATAGGATGCCCTCAGAATGATCTAATAGAAATCGTGTTTCTGTTTAGAAATCTCCCATCAGAATCAGTGCATGCCTCCCTGTCTGGGAAACAGATCGCCCTTCCAGGTTCTGTGTGACACGTGTGAAGGTATTTTCTTATGAGGAGGAAAATGCTCATTTTCAGCCGAAGAAGGGGCAGTGAGCTTATAGAATACTAGGGGCCCGGTGCATGAAATTCGTGCACTGCAGGGGTGGGGGGTCCCTCAGCCCAGCCTTTTCCCCTCTCACATACTGGGAGCCCTCAGGGGATGTCCTAGTGATGGCTTAGGCCCTCTCCCTTCTCCCCTTGGGGCACGGCCTAAGCCGCAGTCTGGCCTCCCTTCGTGGGAGGCGACCAGGCTGATCAGGGGAAGGCACCAGCCCCATCACCCCGCTGCTGCAGCCACTGCCAGTCACCGCAGCCACCAAGGTGTTTTCATCAACAAAGATTCCAGTCCCTTCACCATGAAAAAATGACAACTTTCTTTAGGCATTTTCAAGATATGTCTTTCATGGGATATGATTTTCTTTATTATTTTATTTTATCCTCACCTGAGGATATGTTTCCATTGATTTTTAGAGAATGTGGAAGAGAAAGGGAAAGACAGAGAGAAACATA